ACTAAATCTAATGCTTATGCTTCAAGTGCTGAGGCCTATGTAAAATACCCAGGTGCTAGTCCCACACTTCACATCTTCTTAGCCTCCTCTCTTGGATCCAGGCTCATCTCTTTGCAACCCTGGATTCTCTGCTAACTTACAGATCAAGGTACATGGACCAGGCTAGCACAGAATCCATACAAGAGAGGTTTGCAAGTCAGGTTTTTTATGTTACCACTCCCAGTCAACAGTCAGAAGAATCAGACTTTGGGTCAGTGTGATTTCTGGGCACCGATATCAAGCTACACAGGAAATCCATACACAGGGCAGCCCAAGCTGGCAATGAAGACACATTCAGGACATTTAACTCCAGTCCCTCAGAAAGCAACATTTCTAATTCAAGTGCCACCTCTTCCAGAAAGTCCTCCCATATTGTGCTAGTAGCAATTACTCTTCCTCTGTTGCCCTATATTATCATGTTTATACTTACAGTCCTTAAAAGCCCTCACTTCATCCTAACTTGCATGTCTGTCTTCCTACAAAACTGACAGATCCTAAGGGCACAAACTTCACCTTATTTATTACTGCACCACCCATGTTTCCGAGCACAGAGGCTTGCTCACTGTATGCGTCAGTAAATATTTATTGCCCTGAGCTGAATGGCCTTTATAAATCCCAGGGAAGGATCAAGGAGGAGGCAGCAGGGCTCAGGAAATAATTAATCACGGGTTGATGAACATTGTTCCCTCCTCTTTCCCTCCCCCAAGCCAGCCGGGCCTGCTGAGAAGCCTCCTAGGAAGGAATGCGGCTCCCTCCACCTCCCTCCAGGAAGGAGTGGATGGGTCACATTTCAGGTTGGTCCGAGTGGGGCCCAGAGACCAACGGAGAGGGATGGGTCAAGTCACACAGCCTTCTCTCAGACATCCTGGAGGACTCTGGCGAGAACAAGGGCATCTATCTGCCTTGTAGTAGGAGGAGGGAAAGTCAATTCCTGTTATGCCAGGGTCCTGGATGGGCTCCCTATGGGCGGGGCTGGAGAGGGCTGGGAGTCTAAGATGAAAGAGCTGTGTGCGGGACTGGGGGGAAGGGGGCAGCACATGCCACTCTTGCTGTCCACAAATGATGCCCAGAGACTCTTGAGATGGTAGGATCCCACAGACATCGGTCTCAGGTTGTTGTGGAAGTGTTCATGTCTCCAAGTTTCCAGCCAGAACATTCCTAAGAGAACTCCAGAGCTGTCACATGGACAGGTTTCATGCCGATTTTTAGGAAGCCTCACTCATAAAGTGGGCGGCCCTGAAGGAGGTCTGCAGGAGGTGGGAATGAGGGAGTGAGCTCCATCATTCAGGATGTACTGATCCCTCTCCAGGCTGTACTCCTGGTGGGGTGTGGTGCATGCTGCCCTTGAGCGATCCCCTTGGTGAATTCCCCAAATCAGCGTGCCGCAATTACCCCCTCCCAGGCCTAGTAGACTTCTGGACCCCCTCTTCCTCATGCTGTCTGTCGTAGGCAGGCAGTTGCAGATGCTTAAAAGTAAACGTTCTGTACATCAACTTCAGCAAAGTATAGTTAGGAGCTAAATCAAACTCAGATGTTTAAAGTCTGTTTCGTCTCATTCATATCAAAACCTCCCAGCTAAGAAAATCAGCCTGTGAGCAGACATTAGTTTTAGTGAAAAGACAGGTCATGTTCCCGGTACAGGTCATGAACACTGAATTGTACCTGTACAAACCCAAAAGGCCTCAGGACTCAGGGTTCTCCAGAAAATAAAGGGCATTTCCCTCCTGGGATGTTGGTATGTTAGCCCAGAGCAGCACGGGCAGAAATCTATTCCCCTGGTGGCAAGGACCCTCGCATGGCTCCTAAATGACTAGAAGAGCTGTTTCCCTCCAGCTAACGCATCCTGTCCCTCATCGTCTTAGTCACAAACCGTGTTTCTGCCAGGGCACAGGTGCTGCTGGCTGGAGGTTCCCGGAAGAATCTGCTGTGAGCGGGCCCCTGCTGGATACCTGGGAACTTTCCAGGCAACTGCCTCTCTCTCTCTCTCTCTCTCTCTCTCTCTCTCTCTCTCTCTCTCTCACACACACACACACACACACACACACACACACACACACACACACACACACAGCACAGGCCTGCTGGCCCAGAGGCTTCTAGAGCAGAGCAAAGGTGGAGAGAGCCCTGCTGGGCTGGAGAGACAGGCACATCAGCGGTCTCACAGTGCAGCCTGCTGGGCATGACTGAAGGTGCAGCAGGAGCAGCCAGGGGCAAGGGGTGCAGGGAAGGGTGTCTGATCTCCCCTCTGCCCACTTTCACCACCCAGAGAAAGGAATCTCCAAATCTCAAGTTCAGACTTGAAGGCCTGTGGAGGAAGGACACCTAGTCCTGGGGCTTTCCAAATACAAACAGATCTCCCACAATGAGCTCTCAGTGCTTTAGAATAGTGCAAAAAAATTGTCATGGGTGGGGAGGGGCACTAGAGTTCCACAGGAGCCGAGTGCCCAAGGTAATAGGGGAAAATATCTCTGCCGGGCCTTTGAATGAGTTACATTCCACTGGTATCACACTCCCCTGCTTCTGTCCATCTTTCAACACAGACCATATGGGTGCAATTTCCACAGGAGGCACAAAGAGGGTAAAATTCACATTAGTAAGTAGTAACGGAACAGCCCTGTCACAGTGTAGGGCCAGCGGTGGCCCAGGGAAGGCAGCCACGGGGAGCCCTGACAGCTGGCAGCAGGAACGATGGAGAAGTAAAGGAAAGGAGAACCAGTGCTGAAGAAGCCCCTGGGGCATGGTATCAGACTGGGAAGTGGGCTGTGAGAGGGCAGGTAAGAGGATAAAGAAGGCAACTTCCGACAGAATCAGAGAAACTGAGATGGGCCACTCAGAAGAGAGTGTGAAACAAGGTTAGGGTGGCACCTGCCAATTGTGTATAGCTGTCCTCCACCCCTCCACCCCAGGTTTCTCTTTACGAGCCCTCCAGCTGCCTATTCTTGGCTTCCCTGTCTCTGTTTACCCACCTTTGCCCCTAAAGCCCCTTCCCCTTCCCTCTCTCCCCACTAATGTCAATGTCTCTCTTTCCAGCAGCCCCAAGAATTCCCAAGAATATCCAGGTCAGGGAGTTCCTTGTATCACTGGGTAGAGAACTCCCCCGACACACTACCCAGTGTCCATTCCCTCCAGCCAGTAACTGAATGATGCCTGAGGCTGCAGCCTTCCCTGTCCTGGCCCAGCTGCTGGCCTAGCCCAGGGCTGTGGGAGCTCCCTAGCCATCTGATCCGTGAGGAGCAGTGGCCAGCCTCCAGCTCCACAGTGCACCATGCCCCGTCTAGACAGATTTGAGCTCTCTGTGCTCAGGAACCGCCAGGCCCCAGAGCAGGGCTCTGCTCCAAAGGCAATTCTTCCCCTGCAGGTGAGGCTGCTTTGGTGGCCAAAGCCGAGTGCATATTGGAGCCATTTCCCACTTAGCTGGCGGGCAGTCACCTGAAGTCTCTGGGGGAAAGACTGGGCTCTCTGGTAAGGTGAAATTTTAATTTTTTAAATCATATTTTAAAAAAACAAACGAGTATTTGGAGAAAACAGGCGACAGAGTGGGTGGCCACTTGAGATGCAGAGAGGAAGATCAAAGCCCATCAGGCATGGAGGAAGCAGCCTTGGTGTGTCCCAGAGAACAGTCTAGGTGGCCCTTGCCTCATAAAAGGCAGCCAGGGCCTGGGAGGTGCTGGGTGAGGGAGCCTCGGTCACAGTCACCCAGTGGCCTTGCTTCCTGACCCAGTGGTTAACTGCACTTTGGTTAACGGTCTTCAGCTGGAACAAACACCTGTTGTCAAGAGTCGTCCAACCGAGCTCCCAGTTCCCTGGGAAGGCCCTCACATCTCAGTGTGGGAGGTGAACCTGCCCAAGCTGTGGCCCCCAGGCTGCTTTCTTCCTCCAAGAAGAAGCTGGAATTCCTCCCTCTGGATTCGATCCTTCTGGCTCCTGCCCTTCTCACAGTCCCAGCCCAGGGCAATCAGCCAAGAGCACTCTCTGTGTTTGCGTGCTGATTAATTAGTTCATTAGAAGAGCCACAGTGTCGCTGGGGTAGTGAGTCCATGATTTCGGTCATGGGCTGAGAGTCATTTTTTCCAAATAGGCATGCTCTAGCAAGTATCCTCACAGATCCCTCAGTTCAGCCTCCCAATTTAGGACAACCAGGATCCTGAAGACCAAAGAGGGAACCATGACTTGCTCAAAGAAACATAAAGCCCCTAGTGGCCAGGCTGGGCCAAGAACCCAGTCTCCAGACTCTCGGCTCAGTGTTTTCCCACTTGACGGTGTTGCCTCCCAATGTTCCTGCTGGGAAAGAGGCTGAACTCAAAGAACTCATTGTGTTTCTAGAGCCCTCAACTCAATTTATGCTAGCCAGACTTACTGCATTCTAGTGAGTTCTTTAAAAGCACTGTTCACCAAAGTTCTGTAGAAGCTGGGGAAATTCTTAAGGTAACAGAGCATCATTTTAGGGGCAGCACCGAAGGAAGAGACACCAGGACCCAGTCTTCCCTCCCTTCTAATTTGGAGAAGCTATAAAAAGCCCACATTCCCTCTCAGGCCAGCCAGCTTATTCTTCACGTGATTTTCCAGGTCTTTCCTTTTCTTGGTCAACACCATGGTCACCTGGCCATGACCCAAGGATCTGCTTCAACCAAATATTGAGGGACAATAATAAGAGATATAAATCTGTACGCCCCTCCCTCCCCACAAAAGAGCGGACAGGGAGAGACCACAGTGCTAAAGGACCTCAAGACGGAAGTCATGGTGTATTAGTTTACATTGTCTGCTGCCTCACACAGCCTCTGTTCTCCGTCTTGTCCCTGAGCTGCTTCCCCATCCATAAGACACAACATGGAAATAATACAACCTGGCAAAGCAGAACCCTCTGCTTGACCAGTGGTCTGCCAGGAGCTAAGACGGTTGACAGGTATCTTTCAGGACTTACATCTCGAGAGTTTTCCCAAGAGTATCTTCCCACATCTTACCTGATGAGGTCAATAGGTTGAAACTTATAAAACACTCCGTATCGTGCCCATTCTTGATACAGCAGCTAAACAAGAAAAACAGGGAAACAGATTAAAAGGGGGGGAGCAACTGTTCACCTTTGTCTGTTCTAGAAAGTCAAGATTTTACCCTCCAAAGCCACCCTAATGGCTTCATTTGGATGATGAGAAAGTCAAAGTTGAATTCCAAAGTCCAGTTTCTAGGAAAATTCTCATGTAACATCCTCAAGGGAGACATCCGAAGGCAGGAGGCTATACACACTGGCTTCTTCCTTAAACAATATCACACTCCAAGGCAGTGCCACACCTAATCATCACAATTCCACCTCCTTTATTCCCTTGTCTTGCCAATCCAGTGAAACGAGCTCTGGCATTCATTTATTCACTCATTTAACAAGTATTTATTGAACATCTGCTCTCTGCCAGGCACTGTCCAGACACAGGATACAGCAGCGAACCAAACAAATTTGCTCTTCTCATGGAGTTTACACTCTGGTGTATGGGTACAAACTTAATATAAACATATAAGACCTATAAGTGCCGTGAAGAAAAATAAATCAAGGTGAGGGAGTAGAATATGCAAGAAGAAAGTGGGGTTGGTACTATTTTAGATCGGAGTGCAAGGGAAAGCCTCGCTGAAGAGGGGACATTTGAGCTGAGACTCGAGGGAAGTGAGGAAATGTTCTAGGCAAAAGAACACTCTTCTTTCGGGCAAAGACCCTAAAAATAGTGCATGTGGTGTGTCCTGGGAAAAACAGGTGGAGAATAATGGGAAATAATGTCAGAAACTATTGGGGTGGCCATGCAGAGGCTTGTAGGCCATGCTCAAATCTTTGGACTTTGAAAGGAGCCATTAGGAGAGTTGCAGCAGTGAGGGGGAAATGATCTGATTCAGACGGTAGATAGTTCACTCTGGCTGCTGGGGGAGGACAGAATGAAAGGAAAGGAGAACTTGACATGAGTAACTGAGTAAATGGTGATTCTATTTACTGAAGGGGAGCAGACCATAATTTTAAAAAATAGGTCAAGACTGGTGGAACCAAAAGTTCAGTTTGGGATGTGTTTATTTGCAATGCCCTTTAGAGATGTTGAGTAAGAGGCTAGAGTTTAAAGGGGAGTTCAAACTGGAGATGCGAATTTGGAGTTACGGGAGCAGAGATGATTTGTAAAGTCATTAAGCTATGGGTGCAATCACCAGGGAAGGGAGAGTAGAGAAGAGGCCTGACTTCTGGGCACGGTGCTCTAATGTTTAGTGGTCAAGGGGAGGATGAAAAAGAACAAAGGAGACGGAGGAGTAGCCAGTGATGTGGAAGAGAACCACAAGTGTGTGGGGTCTAGGAAGCCAAGAAATAATGGGTTCCAATTAGAAGAAAAGGACCAGTTGTGCCAAACACTGCTGATGGAACAGGTCAGATGAGGATGTAGAAGCAACCACTAGATTCAGTGATTGAAGGTCACAGGTGACTTCGACAAGAGTGGTTTCAGTGGGAGGGTGGGGGTTAAACTCAAGTGGAACACATTCTAGGGGATAAGGGAGAACACAATGCACCAAACATATGCGGCCATGCCATTCTGTGATGTTTTCACAGCAACTTTAGCAGAACCGACATGTGGAGACCTGTGCATAAGTCCCAAGTGCAAACCACATTTTAGTTAGTTTAAGTGCCTGACCAGCGAGCTCCACAGGTCATTCACATGTAAATGAAGTAATTTTGTAATAAAGCATCATCAGACATCATATAGATGGCCATGTTGAATAGGCACTAGCACAGAATCAAATTATACATCAGCCATTGACAGACTTATCACATACTTGCTACCTTGTTTTTCTCTACTCTTTATTCTCCTTATACATCACATTTCTTTATATATCACACCTGGAATGCTGTCAAGGAAAAGCTACTCCCATCGGGTATTTTGCATATCCAGTTCAACATCAACCCTACAGGAAGCATCCTTTCATCTAAGAATCTTTTGACATGATATGAAAACTGAAATAAGAATTGGCGTTCCTGCTTAATGCCTATACACTTTTATTATCATAATCTCTCCGAACAGCCAAACCCAGAACCCGAAACTAACTGACCCTGGGAGAGGAAACAGCCCACAGTTACCACCACGTGCAAAGTAGGAAACCCAGACACCAAAGGAGGTTGCAACGTGCATAATGGATCTGAATTCATGAGTTTTGGCAATGCTCATTCAGATAGGTGGCATTCACTAATTTTATTGTTATTATTACATCCTTTTCCCCCCTCATATTAGGCATGTGTACTGTCCTGGGTTTTTTATTCTCCCTCCCCAGTGTAAAACCTGGACTCACCAGCACCTGGTTGTCATGGTGACATCATTTGTGGCCTGAAGGGAGGCCAGTTTGCATCAGGAGATACAGGCAAAGTCCTCCCTTGAGGGCTGTGGGACGTCACTACCTGCCTCAAAGGCTGTGCCCTCTAGAGAAAATTCCTCTCCAAAGTCACCTGTCCAGACAAAACCTGAGCCTCAGAACACCTACCTGTCACTGCCCTGAAAGGAAAAACTAGAAAAGCTCCAAAGCCAATGTGGCCCAGTTGGCTAGGGCCCAAACTGAGAGCCAAGCTCACAGGACTTAACCCTGGTGGGATCCCAGATCTGCTATAAAAAAAACCTCCAGAAAGTGGCTTTACCAGTGTGGTACCCTCTAAGCACAGAACTGTATTTGTAAGTTTGCTGATAGAGTGAGGATGCACCAAGAGAGCTCTTTGAGCTTGATGCACACAGCCTAGATGGACACGGAGGAGGAAATCATTAGGTGGCCCCTGCAGGAGAGCAGGAGCTACAAAGCAGCAAATCTGAGGCCTGGACACCCATGTGGCGCTGTCCAGGCCAGCTCCTACATCCTTGTAGGGAAGGCAGGGAGAGGGGTACAGAGTGCTACAGACCCTTCCTGACCTCTACAAACATTTAATCACACATAGTTAGAGAACAAGTGGATCATGCTAAGCCTGGGTTTCAGAGTCCCAGAACAGACCCGCAGTCAGGGTGAAGGGAGGCGTGCTGTGGAGTCTCTGCCCCCTGGGAATGAGAGTGGCACAAGGAGAGTTCAGAAGGACAACCACAATAACTTGTGATAATCCCTTTAATGTTTCAGAGTCTAGAATTTTTTAATGAAGCACTGAGCTAATCCACTTTGTTGCTTAGAACTACAGCATGTCCTCTACACCAACTGGCCAAGCCTGGAAGCAGATCAGGGAAAGTCTGCAGCTCCTTCTCCATAGAAAGTGCCTTACTCTGGGGGGCCCCAGTGGTCATTTCGGGCTTGTCAGTCTCCTGCCAGACCTTGATGGCAGGAAGCAACAGCCCTCAGGGACCATCCCATCTGATGGGTCACAGCATACAAGTGGCCAGCCCTGCTCCCTAGGAATCACATTTGACAGTGAATCACTTGGTTTCAGTATTAATATTTCTTGAGACTGTAAAGGAACCCAACTGTTCCTTTCACGATGCCAGAGCACAGCAAAGTGTCCAAGACTGCCAGCCCTCAGGCCACAAGCTCCTCAGAGAGCAGCTGGACATGCAGCAGGCAGGAAGATGCCCTCTGCAGCCAGCTCAGAGGCACTGATGGGATGGGGAGACCTGAATGGGAGAGAATGGAATTCCACACCCACATCCTGCTGTGACCTGTTCGAATTTTCGGCAAGTCACTCCAGCTACCTCAGTCTTTTCCTTTAATAATACGATGGAAGTTGTACAGGAAGGGAAAATTCAAGTGAAACCAAGAAATTCTGTAAAAACAACAAAAGTACCTTTTAGCAGGTCACTTTATAATTGTCGCACACCTTTTAGTGGGTCACTTTAATAATTGTCCACTAGAGAAGACAATCACTTATAAAAAGTTGAAAAATCCAGGACCAAGGATTTAAAATCATTCCAATGTTGTGCCTTGGGTTCCCCCTTATAAGTGGGTGGGAAGCCACTGGGAGCCAGTGAAGGTCAGGCAGCTCTCAGAAGATGCTAACAGTCACTTCCATGGGATGCTTGAGAAAACCACGCAGGTCTTGCTAATGTGGAATCAGGTGTCTGCTAGAAGCCAGGAGGGACCCATCCACACCCATGCTGCTCCTTCTTCCTGCTGCCCTGCTTTCTAGAAAGGTGGGAAACTCCTGTTCTCCAGAGTGAGGGAGCCTCTTTTCAATTACCCTCCAGGATTAGGGAGAGAGAGCCCTCCAGACGCTAGCTGGGGCTGAGTCCATCGAGACTGCACAGCTGCTTGAGGCAAGCAAGAGGGAAGGAGGCTGCATTCTCAGGGGCCTCTGGGCTTGCCTGGGATCTGCCTACAAGGAGCCTGGGCCCAGGAGTCATGGCAATAGCCACATACTGCAGGGAAGAGTGAAGGAGAACACCCAGGTACTGGCAGGGTGGGCAGCTTGAGATGTCCTTGCAAAGTCTCCCCAGAGGCCATCCCACACTGCAGCCTCCAACCTTCTCCACATCCCCCAGCAACAAAGTCAAGGGTTCTCCTCCCTTGCACTCAAACCCACATCCTTCCTGCAGCCCTCTTGATGAACAGTAGACTATTACAGTGTGACAAAAACAAATAAATATACTGCACATATTCAGAGGTTTTGGCTCCTTCCTTCTTAGGATACCTCCAGACCCCACCCATTTACCACTGAAACTACAGGAAGGAACATTCCCCTCACCATATACAAGAAGCTGTGTTTACCCAGATGTGAAGCTCTGGCTGGGATTTTTGACACCAAGGTTTTAGTCCTGACTTGACAAATATTTAGTGACACAGGAACCAGTTTCCTTACCTTGCTGGGTATATTTCCCAACCCAAATGGACAGAAAAAAGCTTTGACTCTGGCTCATGGTTTCTCTTATCCCTCATCACTGCAACGTGTATTTCCCTAACCATGACCCTGGCAGAGGAAAACAAGGACACTATGACTTGCCAGCAAACCCAAGGGAAAGTCACAAGAAAGGAGCCTCTTGTCTTTCAAGGACACTGGCCCACCTTTACTGAGCCTTTTGACATAAACTATGGGAATCAGGCACCAAGATGCACCTTCATCCTGGCCGGCCTCTCCCTGCCTCCCAGATTCTGCCCATTTGCCCAGTTGGGTTGTGCGCTGGAAATAATTCTATTGACCTAAGGAAAACATTTTCTGGGAGGAAACTTTTGACAAAAGGTTTTGTTGCTAATATAATATAATTGCAAAGACAAATACACACATATTTTGGATAGTGTACAATTTGATTCTCTCTGCCTCTGTGATGATAACAGAGGGCTGACTGATTTCTCCCATGAGTTGCTGTGTGTTTCTGGTCCCTGGAATGTTTCTGTAAAGTGCTCCGCCTTGACAGGCTGGGTCAGCACCCACCCAGCAGGAGGTTTCTTAGGTGGGCAGTGGTGGTGATCACTCTTTAAAGGGGAGGAATGTGAAATTGAGAGTGGGAGGACAAAAAATGGTTGGGGTGAGTGAGGTGAGATGTGGGGAGAAATGCTTCCTCTTTTTCCTTTAAATCTGATCCGGGACTTTTCAGGAAATTAAACACCGAGACTATTAGCATCAGATAGAAAACAGATGAGGTTAAGACATCGAAATACTAGAGCAGATTCCCTGGGCAGGCAGAGAAGGGACATGTGTAAGCAATCACAGCAGTATTTCTGGAAAAGACCTTTTATGTTTTTAATACTTAACACTTCATAACAGGGACTAATAGGCAGGATAAAAAGAAGGCTGCTCTAAAGGCAACTTGGGGGATGAATGGTTTTCCAGACAACAGAGCTGGGGGGGAGGGAAACTTCTTGGGCTTCAATTCTTCACCCCTCCTGCCCTTGCCTACCTTCCTCTGCTCACCAGAGTTGCTGAAGGCTGGGGGAAGCTTCGAGGGAGGATGGCATGAGGGGCTTTACAGCTAGGAGGGGCAGTCACCTCTAAGGAGGCTGCGTGATCCTTAGAGCACCAGGCCATGGCAGGGGAAGGGACACACCCACATTCCCAGAGCATCAGCAAACACAAGAAATGGGAGCTGAGTGGAGGGCTGGGGAGAGAGCTGTCCAGTTGGGAGCCATAAGTGGCATAGGAGAGATCCTTCCAAGGGGATGACCTGAACTATAACCTCCCTGAGCTATACCCTCTAATTCCTAGCTGTGCAAATACACAGCATGAATGAGCCTCCCTCTCCCTCAGATTTCTCATCTGAAATTTGGGGATGGCAATCCCCCACTTGTCTGCCTATGGGATAAAAAGAATAACTTAAAGATGATCCCACTCCCCCCAAAATATAATGGCATGAATAATAATACATTTTTAGCAGGATCTGAGAGTCAGAGGTATTCCAAGCCCTATTTCTGTTTATTATGGCAGTGTTATCAAGGGCAAGGTGCTCAGTATTTCTGTGTGTCAGCTTCCCCATGTATAATAGAAGGAATCTGGATTCTCGGTGTTTCAGTGCAGGCCTTCTTCTCGTCAGGAAATGAGGTAACGGTTTTGTGTACGATGGTTGCATAGCTGATCCAGCAGACACTAAATACCAGCAACACCCGTGTACACAGTCGCGTCAGTAACAACTTGTTAAGTGGTTATCGACAACTTGTCGTGTTAAGTTATTCATGAGTCATCTTAAAGAAGCAGACCTCACATTTCTAAGTTCCCAGGGGGCAGGAGCTGTGGGAGAACTGCTGGAAATATACAAGCAGATACACCGAACACTTAGGACCCTTCCACCTAGTCCCACACCCACCCACGGTCTTCTGTGCACAGAGCACTCAGTACGGCATGAAGCCGGCTTACCTTCCTGTCATTCATGTCATCCCCTGGACTGTCATATTCACCCTGCGAGAGAGCAAAAGATGCTAGATAAAGCCAATGAAATTACTAAAAACAGAGAACATTTTTTAAATTTTTTTCTAACATCATTCCTTTTTTTCATTCTCATTTGAGGGAGGTCAAAAACATGACATGGTAAGGAGCCAAAATTCCACTTTCTTAGTCATCAACGCTTGCGATGTTTCCTGTGGACAGCTTCTCAGACAGATACGCCCCTGAGATGCTCCAGAGACCAGCCTGCGCCTCTTCATAGCAGAGGCAACGGCACAGCCTGTGCCTGTAAATGGTCGCATCACACACAGTCACCCCGTGCCATGCCCTGCCCACCCCGGTCCCTAACTGGCAGAACCAGCCTTGAACAGGCCCACAATAAAGATGTGAGAAGAAGGTTGTCAGCTGGGAAATTCCTCCAGGCATTCAGGGATCCCCACGTTGGTCATCTCATTCGGCACAACTCTGTGACAGGTGCTAAAGAAGTCACCAGTCATATCGACAGTGCAGCCACGGGATACTTGTTCATGAGCCAGTTAAGTGATTCATGAGTCACCTTAAAGAATACGTTGTATTGCACTGTACTATGGGATGTTTATAACATGACTTCCAATCCAGGAAAGCTTTCATTACAATCCATCTTTTTATTAAAACTTAACCAAACAGTAGTATAAAAAATCTTGAGAGATTTCCTTCAAAATGTTAAAAAAAAATTTAAATGACATTTAGTATATATTTGCCTATTAAGGATGGGGAATTTCACATCTACACAAAACTATCACACACGAAACATCACTTTTAACTTATTTAAGGGTCTGACTTTCCAGGTTGTGTATTATTCAGGCCATAGACTTTCCTTCCATGACCATCCATCCCTCTCCAACATCATGTCCCTTTAACTGCTTGCAGGCCAACTCTGTCTGCTCACACTTTCCCCCAAAACAAAGGCAGGGAGTGTCAGGAAAGCTCAAACAAACCCAGTTCATTTTGCCACTGGGGAAACAGCTGGACAGACAACCGACAAAAATCAAACCAGGGCTATGGTCGGTCATGAGCGGTTCAGAACCAGCCAAGGTATTTTAATGTCATGATTCACTCCTGCCTCGCTTCACATATATATACCCATCCACTGCGTCACCTGTAGTTTTCAAGTTTTTTAAGAGTAGAGAATATGCTGACAGAAACGGTACTTACGTCATGCAGAGGGTATGCAGCCTCATAGATATTGTTTGCTATCAGAGAGTTAATACCTATGGAAGAAAGGAAGATGAAAACAGTGACTCCAGGGCAGGGTGTCTGGATTTACCCTTTGTCTGCTGATAGATATTCAACCCTCTCCCATCTTTTGTCTGGGAATCACTGCACTTTCCTCTATGATTTCCAAGTTACGTGTGTTTTTGTCAAATTTTAGTTCTTGGTATAAGGGCAGTATTTTTTCTTTTTTAAATATTTTCTTTCTTTCTTTTTGGAGAGAAGAGAAGGGAGGGAGAAAGAGAGAGAAACATCGATGTGTGTTTGCCTCTCATCTGGCCCCCACTGGGGACCTGGCCCACAACCCAGGCATGTGCCCTGACTGGGAATCAAACCTGTCACCCTTTGCTTCGAAGATCAGTGCTCAATCCACTGAGCTACACCAGCCAGGGCAAGAGCAATATTTTCTCATTTCCCAAATGTAAAGTTATGTTTGGATATCAGACATGCCTTCCCAAACTTCGCATTCCTCCTGTCCTCACACACTCGGATCTCTCCAGTCCAGTCACTCTCTGCTGCACCACTACCTCCATGGCCACTGAAATCAGCTGACAGTCTATGTTCAGTGATAGCATAGGATTGACTACCTCAATGACTACAATTATGGTCAATGAAAGTATATTTCAGAACGACCCATAGCACTTTATCTGATCTCATTCCCGGAACCTTCCTATTCCTTCACAGGGCAGGACAGTCTGTGGACCACGAGCTGTCTGAATAGGGGCAGTGGGGCTGTAGTTCTCAAAACTGGTCTGGAGAACCCAGAGAGTCCCTCATGACCCTTTCAGGGGTTCATAAGGTCAAAATCATTTTTTATAATAGTACAAAGATATTGTTTGCTTTCTCACTCCTATTCTCTCACGAGTAGACAGTGCAGTTCTGTGACACGTGAGGACATCACCCTCCTGACCACTAACGGAATGTATGTTTGCGCATCCTTGTCCTTTCAAAGTTTCTCAGTTTTACCTTTTAATATAATAAATATTCATCAATATAATCCACCTAAGCAAAAGCCCTTTGGGTACTCTCAATAATTTTTAAAAGGGATCCTGCAACCACGAACTTTGAAAACCACACAACGAGGGATTCATTTTTTTAATCTCAATAGTATTTCACACCACACCAGATAGTGGCCCTGTTAAATCTGTTGAATGAATGGCCCTGTCCCTGTACCTCCAATATATTCACAACAAAGAGCCTTCTGCTTAGCATGGAGGGACGGTTATTTACTTGTTTCGTTCATGGTTCTACTCAGAGACTATAAAGTGGTCTGTATGTTCTCTCTGACTCAGAATAGTCTGTCCTAGGTCACTGGCTCCCAGATGGGAGGCATTATTTCTCACGAGCTCCAGTATGGAGGAGCCTGCCGTGCCAGGAGGCACGTGTAATCCTGGAAGGGCGGAGGAGGGGCAAATCTCTGGTGCACCATGGTTTCCTTCACCTCAAACACATTTCCTGCCCTCAATCAATCTTTCCAGAGAGACTGTAGATAGTAGTTATAGGAGAAAACTGGTGTTGGAGGGAAACACTTATGATGTCTACACTCTAAGTAAATCTGCATTTTCAGGGCTCTGGATCCAGGGCAGATTTAAATAAGGAATCTAAACAATAGTTTCTCAGTAAAATTCATGGTTTTCTACCTCCCATTCCTACCCGAGGCCCCAGCTACAAGCTCAGAGACCACAGAGGCTCTTCAACAATCCTCTCTCCTCTGTCAGCCTCCTCTTTCACAAACCTTGTGTCTATTAGCCTCAGTTTGAGGATGCTGGGCATGGGAAAGACCAGCCCTGGGATCCATGTGGAAGTGAAGGCCCTTGGGAGGCCACTGCGGGCACTCGGCTGGAGTGGCCCTCTCCTGTGAGTTGAGAGCTGGGCGTTTGGTACAGCGGCATCGCCACAGAGCCAGTCCTTTTCCTTAGTTTAAGCTTCCTCCTTCACATGAACATAAAACATCAGAAATAACTCCGGAGAGTGGAGGGATCACAGAGTGGGTAAAGGGAGTACGGGTGGAGGAGGGGTGCCTCGAGGCTCAATGAGCTGCAGATTTGTCCTACTCACACGACTACAATTTCACTCTGAGCATCATTAATCAGTTCAAGAGCCATAACCACAGCAATGTGAAGCCACCCTACAATAATCAAGGGGAGGAGTCCCACATTGGGAGAGGGTGGGGGTAGTTCAAAGCTACACAAGGGCTGTCAACATGGATAGAGGCTGAAGCATCCCAGGCGGGGAGGGCTCCAACTAGACCATACCCCATGCACGGCCCCACCTAATCAACCCCCCTGCCCACTCACACCCCATGGTTGCCACAGCAGCAGTAATATACCCTGAAGACAGACTCAAAACTGCGTAGGAAAAGTTAAACAGGTGTTGAACTCTTCTGCTAACTCTCAGCTTTGCTGAGCACAGTAGCTGAGTGTCTGAGAGAATTAGGCTGACAACCTGAACTCCTGGGTCCTGCTGCCAGATCCTGAGAAAGATTTCAAATCATTGGAAGTGTAAAGCTGTGCACTCCACCCCCATCTCAAAGAAAGCTTCCTTTGCGGTGCATGCCTAAAGCAGGCAGTTCACTTCACTTCTACAATATTTTTTGCTCATTGTTTTGTCTCCCAAAGGTCTACAAGGTGCCTGAGGTCAGAGAGCACTCTCCTCTCACCTTTGTCTCATATTCATGGCATCTAGTTCCCCTCTGGGCACAAGGAGGAATAATGGTTGTTAACAGCATCCACCCTAGAGCTAAACTTATCTCAACAACCCTTCCCATTTATCACAGGCACCCACCTACCTCACTATTCCAATTTTTGGCACTCTATGCTGATGAAGAAACTTTAAACTCCAGTTCATCAGTTCACTTCTTAACAGGAAGCCCAACAAATGGTTCTTTGCCTTGGAGCCCATAGGATTCATGTCATCCTAACCCAGATCACTAGAGCCCCCACATGCTGTCATGGACCATGTCTCTGTCCCCCATGGCTATGGACCTCCTCTTTTTCAGACAGTGTCATGTGGTCAACCCCAATCACTAGCTGCTGAGCAGAGGGAGGGAATAGGACATAAAAGAAAGAATGGGGAGGGGCAAGGCAAGCTGAAAAGTCACTATGCATCCATTTCACCCAAGAATGGGAATTGTTTTAGCCTCTTGGGTCACCCACAGACTTCGGAAACCAAGATTCTACCCCCCAAACAAGCATGGAAATCAGTTTGAAAGAAGAAAATAATCAAACGTTGTTTTAAAAAGAGTCTCTGCTTTGAAAATTGAAATTCTGAAATTTTTCCTTGCTTTTCAGCAAAAACGGGTTAATTGGTTCCATCACACACCATCCATCTGGCCATAATGGCAACCTTTCTTCTTCAGAATCACACTGATAGTCTTTCCTCTCTACTCTAGACCCAGAGGGAAAGACCCGGCCTCTCCTCCTTTACTCCCAGAAGGCAGCCAGGAAGGAGGAGAACACATGGTGGGAGGGGGGTGTTTTTTGTTTCCCTCTGGCCACAGGGAGAAGCAGTGCCTCAGCTCAAAGCACAGCTCACTGGGGACCCCCTCACTGATCCCTAAGTCCCATCAAATCACCAGGTATTTCATACTTATTGCTGCTAGAACTATAGTCCCCAAAGGACAAGGTTTGGGCTTCCTCTTTGCTCAGCACTGGCCACAGCTCTCTGCAACAGCCTGATTCAGCCAGGCCAACACTGGTCCTCTGCATCCATAGGGTTGGGGCCAAGGGACAGAGTACAGTGGGCTCAGGCCCAGGACTGGTACCTGAAAACACACACTCATAACACAAACCTGAGGCCTAGCATTTAGCTCCAGAGACATCTCTGGTTTTCTGTACACAAAGGGTCAATCAAAGCAGAGTTTATGGTCTGCCTCCCAGAGAGAGTCTCATTAAATCTACAAATGGCATTTGGTGACAGGGACTACAGCTCTATTCCCTCCAGGCCAAACTCAAAGGAAACTCTGCTCTGTGGGGACAGGTACTTAGAGGAATGGTCCTGAACTCCTGAAAACCCATTTGGTTTTGATCCCCCCAGAACAGGGCCCACGCCACCCGGCGTTCTGCTTTCATCCCTTGTACTCCAGCCGGAGGTAAATCTAAACCAGAGCCCCCAGACAGTGCATGGAACAGAGACTATATTTACCCATCACCAAATTGTCTTGACATGTGTTTAATTACTTAAATGCCTTTAATCCAAAGCCTTTTCTTCTAACAAAATATAAGCCAGTTCAGCTGGATGAATGATAAACCAGATGTTTACAGCACACAACATGGTCTGGCTTCGGTCGAAATAATTAAGACATCGTCTCCTGAGTGGAGAGGGGAGATGCCCAAAGCATACATTTGTGTAAATGCTCTTACACCCAAGTGTCTATGAGAATGTAGCTCCATCAATCTGTAATTTTCTCTCCATGAAAAGGCAACAATGACTTCCATACGGGGGGACAGGAGAGGTGTCTGTCCTCCTCTGACGTGACCGAGGAGGCTTGGGTTTCTTTCCATGTTGAAGTGCAATTTAAAGGCATTCCATGATGGAGTAAACTCCCAGGGCCCTGAAAGCTGACATCACATTATGATTTAGGAGGCCTCACGGGGCTGGGCCAAATTTGTGATGGCTCCCATGCTGCTGCCACCATGCAGAACACAAACGCGCAAATAGATTTAGTCTCTGAACATCATGTGTGCATTAGTCCATAACCCCTCACTTCCAGGGGTAAATTAGAGAGAAACTCCCTATCTACACGTCTGTAAATGGTCCCTCTCTTAATATTTTCCCCCTGAATTTTCCTGACGTGTGTCATTTAATCCTGTTGGAACCCTAACCGATTCTCGGGTGTGGCCCCCATCTTGTCTTTTGTATTATTTGCTTTCATTGCATGTCTCTTTCTTGCCAGACAGAAACGTGGCTTATTTTCTCTTGTACTCAAATGTTACCTTGAAAGTAAGCCCATAAAGGCAGGGATTGCTGTCTGTTGTGCCTGTTTATTCCACTACTCTAA